GGGAGGCCCTTGGTGGCCGCTGATGGGACGGGACCTCTCCCAACTCCTGGGTTAACCCCTGAGTAGCCCCCAGAGGTCCTGGCCTGACAAGCTCCCTGGCGGAGTGCACAAAAACAGGTGAGAGTAGCATATGTATATATGTATACATACATACATATCTATACGCAGATATGATATACATATATACGTGTATGCATATGCTACATATACATATGTGTATATATACAAAGCAAAATGTGCGAAGACGCACGTGCGCGAGGCCGCCGGGGCTGCGCACGAACCCAGTTCCTTAGAAGGACGATGAAATACCCCAAGGGCAAGCGACGCCTGGAGAATAGCTGTTGAATGTATACGTTTCTGTGTCCAAGACGCGGAATCGTCCAGCCAGTCACAGACGGACGCCAGCGGGCGCCCCAGGTACGCTCACGCGTTCCGCCAGGGGCCCGCCCCTCATCCTTACGCGCCCTCGTGCCTTCGGGGGCACCGCCGTCGCCATCACTGCTCGCAACCTTCACAAGACTGTATCTCGTAGTGCAGCCTGGCGACGTTGCACGTTGCAGTAGTACAGCCAAGTTCCATTAAGCCGTGGGCGCATCAAGGATTGGTCGCTTGAAGGGCTCTCTTACCACTGCAGTAGACTTGTTTCTCTGGGTATCAGTGCCTGTCCCGGTGCTGCCGGATTCACGCTGGCCCCCTCGTGGCCACCGTGGGCTTGGCGGCGGCAGTCTTGGGCGCCTGTGTCCTCCAGCTTTTTTAGGAGAGCACGAACACAATGGGCCGTTGCGGGTGACCTCGAAAAGGTCCTGGCCGCTGTAGGCGTGAGTTTCAGTTTGTGTCGGCCTTCCTGCTTCTCCTCCTTGTCTTCCTCCTCTTTCTCCTCCTCATCCTCCTCCCCTTCGCCAGTTTGTCTCAAGCGGCACTTTTGGGACTGGCACCAGTTCCGTCCAGTGTGCGGGCGACGCAGACGTGCATGGATCTGACGAAGGAATGCCTCCGAAGGTCTCGCGCACGGCGGGACCCGTCGAACCAATGAACGCCACTGACCTCGAGAACCTTCTGGCCCGGGCGGCGGACCGAGCTATCGACCGCACCGTCGACAGTCTCTAGTAAGACCAACGAGATGGAGGGAATCATCATGATACGCGCGGGCACAACGCGTGCGGATATGGAAACAAGATTCGACGCGAAAATCGACGAGGTCAAGTGTTTGGCTGTGGCCCAGGGGCTCTTCCGACGGCTCCACCGCTGCGCTGGTTGGCCGCCGTGGAGGCAGCAACCCTTACTCTGGAATCGGGGGTGGATAGACCTCCTGCCCTGACACGTCGATTAAGGAACTGGCCGTTTTCGGCTCGCGAGAGGGCGTCGCGGCCGTCATTATTGCGGGTCCAGGTCCGTCGGTTTCGGTCCCAGACCGTTTTCACTCAGGGAAGGTCTACTAAAGGGAGGTTTGTCCACCGCCGATGGAAGATCTTAGCTTCAACGCCCTGGGGCGATCCCGATTCCACGAGTCCGGCGCAGGCGGAGGCGACGGCGTTTCTGAGGCGGACCTTCGCTACCCAATGCCCCGCCACTGTGGCCCTGGTCAGCTCGACGGGCTCCTTCGACAAGGTTCAGCAGAGGCTCTTGCAGCCAAAACTGGCGACTGCGATGGCTGCTGGTACTTCGCGCAAGGACGCGTGGAAAGCGCAGCAAGAAGTGTTTGGCAGGGTACTACTGGGTCATGCGATCCACGAACGTGCAGCGACATGTGCACTTACTCCGCTCCCAGAGGCGGACCCCCGCAAGATCTAGGCCGGCAAGTTCGATGTTTTTTCCTTGGGCGCAGCGGTCCGCAGAAGGACCTGCTCATCCTTCCACGTGGGATCGTTGGGGCGAATTTGGTCATTGGATCGCCGCGAAGCTCGAGAAGCCCTGGAGCACTCGATCGCGATTGGGTGGAAGATCGTTTCAGAAACGGTCAGGAGGGGACAAAAACACACAGACACAATTAATCGTCGATCCCCAAGAAAATATAGGAAAATATGGGAATTGGATGGGAAGACAGAAACCCACAAAATATGGTAAAATATGGGGAATCATTTTATTTGTGTGTATTTATTTGCATGTCCCAGGGCCCCTCCAAACGGGGCCTGCAGCCCTCGCTGGCGGGCCGGCGGTGGAGGACGGCCATCTCGCCCTGTCCTCGTGGCAGAGGGGGGGGGGCGCCCATTTGGGGCAACTGCATGTTTCGCTGTGCAGGTTGTGGAGGAGGAGGAGGAGGAGAAGGAGGAGGAGGAGGAGGAGGGGGACGAGGGGGAGGAGGGGGAGGAGGGGGCGGGGGAGGGGGAGGGGGAGGAGTGTCTGAAAGCGTTCGTCGCATCAGTTTGCACTCAAATGGGGGGTCTGTCTTGGTTGGACTGCTTCTCATGCTGGCCACAGTCGTGTGGTTCTTCTTCAGGAGGCTGGGTTCTGGCCGAGGGCCCCCCGCGCATGCTGGACGGGTTGTCTTGCGCGAACCTGGGCATTCGTCGGCTGCCTCATGGCCTACACTGAGGAGGGAAAGATACACACACAATTAATCGTCGACTCCCCGGAAAATATGGGAAAATATGGGGTATCATATTATTTGTGCGTACCCCTTTATCATAACCGTCTCCCTGTTTATGTCAGGGCTCACCCCCAGCATCGAGGCCATCACATTTGCCCCCATCGCAACCATGCATTCCTCCCATGGCGTGAACGTGCCTGTGAGTTCCATCCGGCCCGGCCCGTTGCCCACACCCGCCTCCTGGTCATTATCTTTCCGCTCCGATGAGTTCCTCGGTATTCCATAACAGTGCCTGGACGCATAACCAAGATTTGAAGCGAAACGAGCCTTCAAATAGTGCACATGCATGTATAGAAAGGAGACCATCTGCGCGTGAGCATGCGTAGACCTGTCAATCAGTACGCTAGTGCACTCGATGTGTAACCTATGTGTGGTATTCTGCGCGATGCATTTTCTCCGCATGGTGCAGTATACACATATATTTACATATGTAGATATATATATATATATATATGTAGGTATGTGTAGACCGATGTATGTTGGTGTCTTCATATGTGTATAAATATATAGGGACATGTAGAGACATACTGAGAGAGAGAGAGAGAGAAAAAACGGTATGCCTATTCAATGTGCGAACGCGGTGTGACACATGCTTTGTGGTGTAGATTATGTGGTGTGAGCAGTGGAACACAATGAACGGGGTGAAAATTGCGTGTTGCAAGTTCGGTGGTGCAATTTATGCGTTGCGATGCGTGTGGTGCGCGCCCTGTGGCGCAATCTGTGGTGCAACCAGTGCGGTGCAAGCTATGCGGCGCGACCTACGTGGTGCAGAGCAGGCCGTGAAACCTGATGCCAGCTACGTCCGACAATCTGTGTGATGGAAGCTATGTGGAGCGCGCAGTGCAATGCATCATCACATGGGATGACAGCCTCGGCTGGTGCAAGCGATGTGGTGCAGGCTCTGCGGGCGCCCCCGAGGCGCCCACGGGCAGGGACGGGGCGGCTGCCGCCAACGGGGCGCCAAGGCCACTGCTGGACGTTCCCTTCCACGCCCTGGTCGGAACGCGTTCCATGACAGGCCAGGGCGTTGATGTCGCAGTGTTGGTTGGCCCTCGTGGGCCCAGGCCCCTGGCGCCCAGACGAGGCAACCAGTGCGTAATTCTATGGGGCAGCCCGCTGCCCGCTCCAGGCCATGGAACAAACAATCACACACACACGGGATAGCAAGCCGGTCCCAGGCTGCTGCGTAGAGATCCGTGCGTCCATGCCACAGATAGCATTTGACGTCGGATGTGTGGAGGCGAGTGGTAGACAAAGGGTGGTAGGCAAGCTAGGTAGGCATCATGCTCGCGCCAAACGTGACATCCTACCCCTCCATCCCATCCCTTCCCATCGCGCTGATTTGTTTTCTGATCGGCGGACGCGTGTCATGGCCGACCTGGAGCTCTAACCAATAGACCCCATCGTGTCGTGTTATGCGCTATCAGAGAGCGGGATCTGCGTACATAGGAAGAGGAGGTGTGTGGGTGAGCAGGAGGATGAGCAGAAAGGCGAGCGGGAGGTTGTGGAAGGACGAGGGCGAAGACAAACAGAAGCAGCAGGAATTGGTGTGGGATGGTGAGGGGGGCGGGGGGTAAGCAGGCGAGATTTGTTGTCACACCCTGCAGCGGGTCCAGCCCGATCGAGCAAGTCATGGCGGGCCCGCTATTCCTCGACGCGCAGCGGCTGGCGCTGACGCGGGCCTTCAGGGCTGGACGCTCGGGGAGCTCGTCCGCCCCAGGCACCCACGGAAGGACCCACGGCGCGACATCTCGGACCCCAGGAGACGGGGGTCAATGCAATCGGGGGTCAGCCAGGGCACCGGATCCTGCAGGATCCTGCGAAGACCGTTTTTGGCTGACTCGGGTCAGCGAGCCGCTCGTGGCCGCGAGGCAACCGCGCTTGTTGGCTGACCGGGGTTTGCAAAGCCCTGCGCTTCAGTTTTTTTTTTGGTTTTTACGCAGTGCAGGTGTCTGGTGTCCTGCTTACCCGGGTCTGACTGACCCGGGTTGGCAGATCCCCGAACATCGGTAACATTTGCTTGCTTGGGTCCGCATACGTTGGGCACATGGGTTTGGTAGGGGGGGGTGGGGGAGACACGGGATGGTTCAAGGCTTAGCCGCTCGCTCGGTGTCGGAAGCCAGAGCCGACGCCGTCACCACAAGTCAGAGCCCCGAATCATCAGGGGTAATTCGGGTCAGGGATCACTCGGGTTCGGTTTTCGGGAATCCGAACCCGAGTTACCCCGGACCCGAGTTACACCGGATAATTCGGGCGTCCAGAGCCCCACATCATCAGGGGTAACTCGGGTCAGGGCTAACTCGGGTCCTTTTTCGGGAATCCAAACCCGACTTACCCCGGACCCGAGTTACCCCGGATAACTCGGGCGCCCAAACAAGAGCTCGCCGCCGTGGGTCTCTTCTCTCTCGTGGAGTCGTCGACGCCCGCCCGTCGACAGGACGACGCACGAGTGCTGGAGGAGAGGGCAGGCCCGCCCGCGCAGCACCGCCACAGCGATGTTCACGTGCTGTCTATTGTTCTGCAAGGCGCCATCGGCGAGTCACCGCCGCCTCATGTCTGCTGGAGGCGCCCGTGCGGTGAAGCGTCGCGCGGAAGTGCGGCCGCGTGCCTGTGGACCGCGTGTCTGGGGAAACGGTGGACGCGCTGGGGAAGGGCTGTTTTGGGGGCGATCTTGGGGCAATCTGTCCTTAGGGGCCTCATCGGGTGCCTCCTTGAGCCCTCTTTGGCCATCTTGGACCTAATGAGACCTTGAGATCTTTTTGATCGCATTTTTCGAACGTCTTGGAGAATTCTTAAAGGCCTCTAGGGCCCTTTCGGACGCTCTCAAGACCGACGAGGGAGAGAGCCGAAGGTGATCACACGAATGCAAGGAACATCCATGATTTGTTCCTAGACAGGCACTCCTGGGAGACCTGTTGGAGCCTTCTTGGAACATCTTTGCGGACTCTTTGGACCGTCTTGATCATATACTGGGTTGTCTTTGTGCAGTGTCGGGCCCTCCATGAGGCACCTTGAGCCGTCTTGTTGCCCAGTGAGGCCATCCTGGACCTATTCAATCGCGACAGAGGCCCTATTGGGGCTATCTTGGACTGGAAAGCCGTCGGGAGCGTTCTTTTCCAGGCGGCCGGCGGGACTGGCCAAAGCCCACGGGGACCTTCCGGGCGGGGCTTGCAAAATTCGGCGCGCCAGGCACCCCTTTGGCAGGCCGCGGTTGCGACGAACAGATTTGCTCTTGGCGAATTCCGGCACCGTGCCAGCATTCGAATACTCGGGACGCCATGCACCCGTTGCAAGCACAAGGAGGCGGCGTATCTAGTGCTACGTCGCCAGGGCAAACAACATCGTGACCAGGCGCGGGATATTCAAAGTATGCCAGAGGTGTGGAATCAAATCGCCAGCGGAAGTACGAGTATGAGACAGATGAAACATGGAAGTGTTGTAAAAGTAGGGGAAAGTACGAATCTTATTTCCAGATTTGTTCAACCTGTTTTCATTGAAAAACTCACTCCGAACCTCAAATCCGGGAGCACTTTTTTCAAACCGTGTAAGATTTGTTTCGCACATCCAAATCCCGTTGTATTTGTTCAAACGTGTTTATCCATATTTTCCAAACAAATCCAGGTGGATGTTTTTTCGGTTTTTGTCAGACGTTTTCGAACTTCACCTCTGGGCGTACTTTTATGCAACGCGCAGAATTTGCTCAGGGCTCTGGAGATCACGTCGTGTTCCCCCTTCTTGGGGCCGTCCCGAGATGTCTTGGGCCTTCTCTTTGGTCTTGGGGGCCTCCTGTGCCGTCGTGGTGCCGTCTTGGGCCGCCTTGGGCCCTTCTTTCCTCAGGAGGGAACAAAACACACAGACACAATGAATCGTCGATTCCCAAGAAAATATGGGAAAATATGGGAAGTGGGGGGGAAGGCAAAAACCCAGAAAATATTGGAAAATATTGGGAATAGTTCTATTTGTGTGTATTTATTTGTGTGTCCCAGGGCCCCTTCATTTCCCTGGGCGGACGAGCTTCGCCTCGCTCCGTGTTACTGGAGCCGACCTCGATGCAGATCGAGCATCGGTCGGGGATCGGGGTTCGATTGAGGGTCGGGGCTCCCCCGTGAGATCCCCCCCCCCAGCTGACTGTGCCGGCGCGGTCGCCACGGGCCCCGAGGCTCCGAGCCAAGGGGCCCGGGGGCGCGGGGCCCGGGACGGTCTCTATCTTGGGATGGCTCGCAGGGTCTTTTTACCAGCCTCGAACTTATCCCTATTCCTAAGATTGACACGCCAAAAGGCGATGACAATCTTAGGGATGCGCCCTCAAAAAATAAGGGAATCCCTAAAATTGGCATCGTGATGAGGAGATGCCCAGCATAGGGATGGGGATATGCTCCAGGCTGGTAATCCTTGGGCAGTGCCAGAGGGATCGCCAACGCCCATACGGCCAAGCGTGGGGCCGACGGCTCGCCAAGCTGCTTGGCGGTGTGCTCCCCAGCCGCCGTGGACCCCCATTGGGGGAAGGCCCGAGAGAGAAATAGAAAGGAGGCCGACGAGGAAGATATCGAAGACGCCTACTGCGAGTCACAGCCGCTCTCTGCCTGTTGGCAGCGCCGATGCGGCTGAACGTTGTGGCCAACGCCTGGAGAGGCTAGCTGTTGGACTACGTGTTCCCCGAGCCGCAGTGGAAGCCCTTCGGGGACCACTTGAGGGAAGAGGAGGGAGAGCATTAGTAGGAGGGGCAGGAAGAGGGTGAGGAGGAGGAGGAGGCGGAGGAGGAGGAGGAGGGTCAGCGTTCGTGCCGACACTCTTGGGACCTGCTGAGAGCCTTCCGGGGGGGCCCTCGGAGGCCTCTTGGGGACCTCCTTGGACTTCTTGGGGGTCGCTGGGGGCTTCTTGGGCCTCTTTGAGGGCGTTCCTGGCCCGTCTGACGCCGTCAGATGCAGTCTTGGTGGCCTCGGGGCCTTCTGGGTGTGGTTCAGGGCGGTCTTGGAGGCCGTCTTGTGCGCCTGGGAGGTGTCTTGGGCATAGGCAGTCATTTGCCATGTCTTGGATGCTGCGGGGACGCTGTTTGGGGCCTCGTGGGCTGTCTTGGGCCGTCGGAAGTCCAAAAGGCGGAGCAGAAGCGCATTCAAACACCAACGGAAAATTCAGTCAGTCTCTTCGGGCCGTCTTGGAGGACCTCTTGCAGGCCTCTGATAGCCTCTTGGGGGCTTCTTTGGCCATCACGGGGCCATCTCATGCCGTCTTGGGTGCATCTCGGGCCGTCTTGGGTGCGTCTTGTGACCCTAGTGGGCTCTCTTGGGGCCGTCTTGACCATCTGGGAGGCACCGCGGGGCCGTCTGGCCGAGCAGCTTGGGTCGTACTGGCCGTTTTGGATTGATGGAGGACTCTCGGGTCTCTTCGGGTGGCCCGCGGGTTGGGCCGAGACCCCATTGGGAACCGTGCGAAAGAGCCAGCGCCACTCGAAAGTTTCCCACGCCGTGCGCTACTGTGCCACGAGCACGGGAGGCGAGGGGTGCAGTAGCCTTCGGCCCGTTCCGCGACCGTGCTTGGGTTGGTATAGTCGGGGCCCTGAAGAAGGAACCTTTTTCGTTCGGGAGGGGCTCCGTGTTCCTTAGTTGTTTTACAGTGATCCTCGGGTTTTCTTGAGGTTTCCCATGGACAATCGAAGTTCAATGTAGGGGGCCACGACCGACCTGACGGTCGTGGGTGGTTGCGAGAGGGCTCTCTCCAAGGGACCCGGCGGCTCCGTGCCTTGGGGCGCGGTGGCGGCTCGTCCCAGCAGCAGGGGCTCGCCGAAGGAAGGGGGGACGCCTTTGCCGCCACGGCTGCCCGGCGCCATCCCCTGCCAGTCTCGAGCAGTGGTGACGCGTCTTGGCTGTCCTATAGGCCCACCAAAGAATGCACTAACTAAGAACCTTGTTATGGTCTGCGCGGAATGTCCTTGGAACATTTCTGGCTGGGAATCTGTCTTGCTTTGACACATCGGGTTCATGCTATAAGAACATTGTTTTCGTTGTTGGAATACTTTGGGGTTCGAAGAACATATCGTGGTAGGCCTATAGGAAAGCCAGGACGGCCGGTCTCTGCTCAACAGTCGGGTGGGTGGTAATGGGAGGTGGCCCAGCAGGGGTGTCACGAAAGTCGAAGAAGGACAAACACGCCATAAACATAAACTGTTGGCGCTGCGCGCGGATTTCTTGAATCCGTGCTGGGGCCCCCTGGCGGCGCATCCGGCGCCGCCCCTGGCGCGCTCCGCGTGCCAGGGAGGGGGTTCCAACCCAGATCCAAGAAAGCCGCGCGGACATCCCAAAGTTTATGTTTATGCTGTTGTTTCCTCCTCTATCTAGAAAGGGGCTAGAAAACTGGCCTTTTAGGAACCTATTCACCCCTATCTAGGTCACCCTCCATTGCCAACCGCCCGACAGCCTCTGCCTGACCCGCAGGCCCATACCAGGACTGGCGTGTACGAACAAGTTCTCCGGGCTGTGATTCTGCTTAGGTCATCCTGGTGTGGCCCAGGTGCGATCTGATTGGTGCGGGTTATGCCAAGCCTGAGGCACGTGTACCACGCACCTTAGGTTCAATCCAAAGCTTCTGTCTTAAACCAGCCATCTCCGTTTATTTGCAGACTGTTCTGATTGCCAGTGGCCCATTCTTTTACATGTGTGGGGGCGCTCAAGGGGTGGTGATGACCAGCGGGGGTTGGATATGGATGTCATGCCCGGGTCCATGATATCTCCCAGATGTTATGTTCCCCTTTCTTTCTTGCAACGTTTCCATTGGCCCCCCCAGGCCGCGCACGTCGGGCCATGATTTGCAAACCCGCTCCAGGGCGCCCACTCTGGGACGCCGCTGAGCCGTGGTTCTGCTGATTGGGAGCATGTTGCCGCAGAGGTTAACAAAATCCCGTCCAGCCATGCGTGCACCATGCAACTTGCGCCTTCGCGGTAGCGCCGCGTTGCGGGGTGTAGTTTGGCCCCCATGAAGCAGCCGCAGCAGATTACAGAAGCCCTCCCTCGAGGAAGCGTGAGACTCGGGTTTGCCAGACGAGGAGTTCGCAGCCGCCTCCTTGACGGTCCCAGCACGAATTTTGACTGCCCAGCTCTCGTGATCTGTCTGCGGCGGGAAGTTGCGCCACATCTCAGACCAGGTCATACAATTTGTCTGGCGACTCAGTCGATCCGATTCGATGTCGAGCTCAACCGGCTTGATCCGATTCGATGTCGGTGTTTTGGCGAGCCGATGCGGGCCGATGTTCGCATGGTGGTGTTGTGCATCCTAGCGCAGCCGATCTGATTCGGATTCGGTTTCGATTCCGTGCCGATGTGGCCCGATCCGACGCACGTCTCGATTCTGCCCGATTTCCTTGTTCGATGATGATTTGCCGTGGTCAGTCCAGCTCGAGTCCACCAACCTCAGCGTAAGTCGGGCCTGTCCCTCAACAGTGGGGATATTCAATAATAAACATAGTATGGGGACGAGTTGTTCATCTGTTTGGCAATGTTTGATCATGTGTTGGCTATTTTTATTGTTCCTCCAACGTCTGCCTGTAGGGGGACATGCCCGACCTAACGCTAAGCTCGAGTCTTACACGCCTTCCTTGTCCTCTCCGCCATCGTCGGCCACGCTCGCGCGGCGTCAGGCTGGTCCCAGCGGACGCGGCAGCGAGGAGGCCTACGACGTCGGGGAGGGCTACAAGGTGGCCATGAGGCATGGCGCTCTTTGGGCGGTGTAGGAAAAACAGGACTAAGGTCGGAAGAGGAGGCGGCGGAGGAGGATGAGGAAGAGGCAGAGGCGGAGGAGGCGAAGGAAATAAATGAGAGGCAGGAGGAGAGGGAGGAGGAGGCGGAGGAGGAGGAGGAAGAGGAGGAGGTTGAGGAGGCGAAGGAGGCGGCGGAGGAGGATGAAGAGGAGGAGGTGGAGGAGGCGAAGGAAGTGAAGGGAGGGGGTAACGAGAGGGAGGAGGCGGAAGTGAAGGAGGAGGAGCAAGAGGGGGATGGAGGAAAGTCGAGGAAGTGAAGAGGAGGAAGGAGGAGGCGGCGGAGGCGGAGGAGGAGGAGAAGGAGGAGGAGAAGGAGGAGGAGAAGGAGGCGGCGGCGGAGGTCGAAGAAGAAAGAGAGGCGTAAACATCATTTGTGGGAGGTCCGCGCGGACCTCCAACAGTGTCTGCTTATGCCCTTCCTTCTCCTCGAGGAGGAGGTGGAGGAGGAGGAGGAAGTGGAGTTGGAGGAGGAGGTGGAGGAGGAGGAGGAGGAGGAATGGCAGGTGGACGAAGACGCGACGGCTTAAGCAAGCTGGCCATTGCCCAACGCAAAACGGAGGAGGAGGAGGAGGAGGAGGAGGAGGAGGAGAGAAAACCCAGGATGGGTCACCGATGGTGCGACGCACCCTCCCGTCCCTCCCGTCCCCCTCGTAGGAGTCCCCGCAAGCACTCCCTTCTCAGGAGCGAAAGAAGGACGTACACGTACATGAATCCATGCTGGTTTCGAGAGTACGCATTGCGCAAATGTTCGTGTATTGCGGCCGGTCTCGCGAATCGAGGGGCCGTGTTCATGTACATAGCTGGGCGCGTACGTCCTTTTGTGGGCTCCCTACCTTCCCACAGCGGGACGCGCCCCCTTCACAGACGAGCACCCCACAGGGCCCTGCCACTCGGGCGGCAGGAGGCTGCCGGACTTGCGCTCTGCCTTCTAGGGAGCTCCGGAGGTCTGCGGGGGACCTGCGGGGGACCTGCGGGGTGGCGGGTTCCTCCGGAGGGCTTAGGCGACCCGTCCTCCTCCTGCTCCTACTCCTCCTCCTCCTCCTCCTCCTCCTCCTCCTCCTCCTCTTCCCTCCTCCTCCTCCCTCCTCCTCCTCCTCCTCCTCCTCCTCCTCCTCCTCCTCCTCCCTCCTCCTCCTCCTCCTCCTCCTCCTCCTCCTCCTCCTCCTCCTCCTCCTCCTCCTCCTCTTCCTCCTCCTCCTCCTCCTCCTCCTCCTTCCTTCTCCTCCTCCTCCTCCTCCTCCTCCTCCTCCTCCTCCGCCTCCTCCTCCTCCTCCTCCCTCCTCCTCCTCCCACACCTCCTCCTCCTCCTCCTCCTCCTCCTCCTCCTCCTCCTCCTCCTCCTCCTCCTCCTCCTCCTCCTCCTCCTCCCCCTCCTCCTCCTCCTCTTCCTCCTCCTCCTGCTCTTCCTCCTCCTCCTCTCTCCTCCTCCTCCTCCTCCTCCTCTTCCTCCTCCTCCTCCTCCTCTCCTCTTCCTCCTCCTCCTCCTCCTCCTCCTCCTCCTCTTCCTCCTCCTCCTCCTCCATCTTCTCCTCCCTCTCCCCCTCCTCCATCTTCTCCTGCTCCTCCTCCTCCTCCGCCTCCTCCTTCTCCTCCCCCTCCTCCTCCTCCTCGGGTCGCCTACGCCACGGGGGGAAACCGTGCACTGCGGGGGCAGGAGGAGCTCGAATCGCTGAATCAGTCAAACCGTGCACTGCGGGGGGGAAACAGTCAAATCGCTGAATCAAGGAACCATTTGGGTTCCGAAGGGGCTCGAGGTTCTTAAGGTCCTTCCATGGCTGTTCTGCTCACCCTCCTCGTGCACGCAGGCGCTTCTGGCGCCGAAAAGGGGCTTCGTTCGCTTTGGCGTTCCTCATTTCAGCGGCCCGACTGTAGTCAGCTTTTGTTTGCAAAAGCCACGCGCCCCACACCCGCTCACAGGCGGCGGGGCTCTTATGAGGCGGGCCTCGCACGTCAGGCTGCACTGCCCCGAGTGGGCGCGCGGACCATGCCAAGAAATCTAGGCCTCCTGGATGTGGTCCGAGTAGCTGGGGTGGATCGCGCCGCATCGCCGATGCATCGACGATGCGGCTCGATGTGGAGCCCATGTTTCCCCACGCCGACGTGGCCGATGCCTCGGCGATGCGGCGCGATCTTTCGACCCCATCTACTCGAACCCCATCTAGGAGGCCTCTAAGTAAGCGCTTGGTGACGTGGCCAACGCAGGACAACGGGCTTAACCGTGTCGACATTCGCGTGGAAGCCACCCGCAGAAGGTCGCGCATGAGCGCCCTCGATTCCATTGCGGCGCGCCGCGCTCGGCAGCCTGGCGCAGTCGGGCATGTCCCTCCACAGGAGGAGTATTCCCAAATAGTAAAAAATGGTATAGGGACGAGTTTTCTACTACATTCAAGAATAGTGAACTTTGTCCAGGTAGTTATTACACATTTCGCCCAACATCCGCCTGTAAGAGGACATGCCTGATCTAAGCGTAAGCCGCGGCGTGGGGTCGCGATGCCCCTTCTCGCGCGAGGCCCGATGTTACCGCCCACCAAGCCACCCCAACCCAACCCGAAGGCCTCGACTTGCTCTCCGTGTCCAGTAGTGGGGGGGGGGTCAGGGAACATGGAACAAACACACGCATGAAGCCTGTACCCACCCACCCCAAACCCGAAATTCGGGTCTTCGGGTTGGGTTGGGGTGGTCTGGTAGGTGGTGAATCTGCTCCTCGGGAAGACGGGCGACTCCTCGCCCCCGGCCAGCGGCAATGCTGCGGCGTGAAGGCCCCGAGTTCTGTTGCCCCCCCCCTGGAGGGTTTCTCCGAAGGGCTTCGGCGACACGTCCTCCTCCTCTCTCCTCCCTCCTCCCTCCTCCTCCTCCGCCTCCTCCCTCCTCCCCTTCTTCTTCCTCCTCCTCCTCCTCCTCCTCCTCCTCCTCCTCCCTCCTCCTCCTCCCTCCTCCTCTCCTCCTCCTCCTCTCTCTCTCTCCTCTCTCCCTCTTCTCTCTCTCCTCTCTCCTCTGCCTCCTCTGCCTCCTCCTCCTCCTCCTCCTCCTCCTCCTCCTCCTCCTCATCTACCTCCTTCTTCTCCTCCTCCTCCTCCTCCTTCTGCTCCCTTCTCTTCCTCCTCCTCCATCTCCTCCTCCCCCTCCCCCTCCTCCACCTCCTTATCCTCCTCCCCTTCTTCGGGTCGCATACGGCCCCGGGGCAAACCGTCCAGGCCCCCCTCCCCCGTCCTCATCGGAGGCGGGCACCCAGAGGGCCATCAGCCTCGAGGCCATTTCTTTATTCCCCGGCGATGCCGCGCAGGCCGGGAGGGGCGGGCGGCGGGTGGCGAGTGGGCCGAAGCCACGCCTCCGCGCGGGGGGCCGTCCAGGATGGCTCCGGAAGGGCTCCCTCCCAGACGGCACCAGCGTGAATCGTTTCGCGACCCGGGCGTTGGGAGGAGAAGGGGGGTACGTTGCATCTTCGGGGGGCCTCACCTGTCTCCAAAATTGGTTTCTTTTTTTGTACCCGACGCGGGCTCGATGCGGACTCGGCGCGGATTTGGCGTGAATCCGACGCGGATTCGACACGGTTTCGACACGGATCCGACGAGTCCGACACGGATTCGACACGGATTCGACGCGGATAGGGCCGCGACGGGACAGACAAGGTCCCCCGAGGCTGCAACAGAAGGGGGGGCGGCGGGGCCGGGCTCGGGCGTGGTCGCGAAGAGTGGAAAAAATGGGTTCCTGAAGCGTCGCCGTCGCTTCGCCGCGTCAGGGCTCGTTTCGATCCCTCCGATTCGATTTCGATGGCTTCCGATTCCGATTCGACTCGACTTCGGATTCCGATTTGGGCTCCGTCTCCCTATTGGAGGCGTACTAACCTGCCGATGTCCGCCGATTCGATTTCTGCCGACTCGGCTGCCGATTTCCGCCGATCCGACTCGTCTCGATCGCCGAGCTGAGCTGGCCTTTCGATCCGATTTTTGGGCCTTCCCCGCCGCGTCGGGGCGTGGCGACAGTGCCGAGGGGCTGGTCTCGCTCGGGAGCGTTGCCCGGCCCCCACGCGGCGCGCGACCGTCCTGCCGCCTCGAGCGGCGGCCGGCCGTTGGCCACGAGGGCCTGCCTCCCCAAAGCCCAGAGAGTGCGGAGAAGCGCCGCGTCGAACACACGCGCGCGCACACACACACATACAAGCACACGCGCGCACACACACAACACGAACATACTCGCACAACTGACACGCACACACAACAACAACAAACACAACTCAACATACACGCACGCGCGCACACACATACATCAAGCAATGGCGAAGCGTCCTGGCTCGCCGATAGCCCCACCAGACAATGTTCTAAGAACCTCTTGTGGTGTCCACGAAGTGTCCTTAGAACATTTCTGGTTGAGATTGTCTTGTTGTATCACACCGAGTTTATGTTCTAAGAACATTGCTTTTGTGTTTAGAACATGTTTGGGTTCTAAGAACATTTCGTGGTAGCACTATAGGAATGCCGGGACGGTCGGTCCCTGCTCAAATACAAGCACACGCGCGCACAAACACGCACAACACGAACAGACACGCACAACTGACATTATAGACAGCAGTGCGGCAGAACAGCTCACCGCCTTGTGCCCCCAGGGCGGCTAGCGGTTGTGGGGCTGTGATACGTTGCCCCAACATGTCGAACCATAGAAAACTGTTTGTTCCCTGAACCGAAGCGCATGCAATGGAGCCATGCATGAAGTTTCCATTCGTTCCACGGTTCCTCCCGTATTCGAAGCAGTGCGGTGAGAATTTTAATTCATGTGTTGCTTCGACATGTCGGATGCCAACGTGGCAGCGAGCGCTATCAGAAATTGCATAGCGGAAATACCTCGTGAATCAAGGGTTTCCCACGCGCGCGTCTTCTGATATTGGGGAGACCAAAGGTACGGGTGACCATTGTTTGGTTTCATACGTTGTTTGTGTGTCGGTAGAGCAGAGCAGTGTGCGATAGTTGGTGTGAGTTCGGATTGACCGTCTGTGACCGTACGAGCACATGATTTGCATACTCATCTGTACATGAACACCCTCCCTCGCCATGGCCACATTGGACCCGCGCATGCTGTACATAATTACCCTCCTGGCCTCGGCGAGGAGGGCGTACACACCGTGCCAGGGCCTTGGATGACCCCGACCACGCATGGTGATAGTGTATGGGTGCTGCCTGCGGACAGTTGAGCGGAACAGCCGCGCGGAAAGAGAGCGCCCCAGGGGCGGCTGGGTGGCGAGCCTGTCGCTGACGAGCTTCGGGCCGCCCCGCCCCGCCGCCGCCGCGCCGCTGCCGCCGCCTTGCGCGCACGTGCTGCTGCGCCCTGGGTCTGACCCAAGGCAAGTTCACGCCGCAGTTCAAGCATTCCCTGGGGAAGCAGCCCTGATGGTAGTAGCGCCAGTAGCCCCCCAAGAAATAAGTGAACAGCAAGAGTCGTGGTGGCCCATCCCGGGCTTCTTAGAAGCACCCCTGCTTCTTAAAAGGCGCGGGCCTTGTCTATAGATGTAAGGCCGGCGCCTTCTAAGAAGCAGCCTCCTTCTAAGAAGCCCTCCCCCCTCCCTCCACCCCCTTGTGCGCGGCGCCAATTTTGGTTGCAGGTCAGGGGCATGTTGGATGCCTGTGGGTGTATGTCCAGTGCCCAGCCCGACCCACCGGCTCTCCCTCAGCTCAAATGGCAAAGTCCGCATGGCGTCTTCCCGCCCATTTTGCACACCCCTTACACTCGCCGCCGCCCGATCGGGAGCCCCACCGAAGTCGCAGTGGCAGCGAGGGCAGGATGTCGCTCCGCCCATCTCGGCACACTCCTCACACGGTTCGCGGCCCCGGAATTTGACCGAAGGCCCAAATGACAGATTTCGTTGTGCATCACCCCGTCCATTTGGGCACACAACTCATACGCACCGTGGCTTCATGGGAAGCTTCACCGAAGACCCCAGTGGCACGGTTCGCATGCCGCCTTGCCCATTTCCCAACACATTTCGCACGCCTCGTGGTCTCATCATTATTATCCTCATTCTGTTCATCTGCCTTGGGTACTTATTTGTTGCATCTGCTTCCGCACTGTCTCGTGCCACCATCTCCAAATGTTTTGTCCACCACCAGCCCATCGAAAAACAACTCCCAGGCGAAATGGCATGGGAAGGGTAGTGTGAGAACCCTCTCCATTTTTTAGAACAAGGGAGGAGAGCGGCCTAAAAAGCGGCGGGCTGATTACCATGCCCTTCTTGTGTCCGGAAAATTGTTTGGAAGCCTTTATTTGGGCGCTCTATTTGGCATTCGGATCCCTGAGGGGTGCCCTCGTGGGTCATTGTGGGGCCATGTTTCCCAGAAGCAAATCCAGAAAGACAACGTCGAGAAGGTGCAAAAATATGAAATGCACGTTTTGCATGATTGCGGCCTCTCGGGGGTATCACTGAAAGGAGCCGTGGCCACATCGAACAGTTTTGTGCCCTCTTGGAACACTCACTGCTACATGCCACCCTGGGCAATCTGCGGACCTAGGGCCACCTCAGACGCGACCATGCCCTACCCCTCTCCGTCCAGACACTCCAGTGGGGGGCAGCGTTGAGCGGGAAAAGGCTCTTCCCCGAGGGGCAAAGAAAAAAGACTCTGGAGGAGAGGCTCCGCCAGACCGCCTGCGCCCAGACGGCCCAGTGGCATTCCTGCTCGGCCCCCCACCCCTCCTGCAAGGCGTGGCGTGCTCGGGCGGCGGTGCCCTCGGGAGCCTCCAGTCTTGCGGATTCGGCCGCCTCGCAGCGCAGCCAGCTCGGCGGCGCCGGCAGTCGCGCATGCCAGGCGCCAGGGGAGGGGGCATGTCCGTCGCCGCGCGCCGCCAGCGAAGTCTCACGCGCACGTCGCGTCGATGGATTTTCCAGCAGGCCGCCCCCCCATCCCACGTAGGCGAAAGACGTGTCAGTATCCGCGGCCTCGCGGGCTGGGCCCCTGGGCCGCAACCCTGCGGATCAAGCAGTTGCGGGGCGCTGTTCTGCGGATGCCCCCGGTGCGGAACCCACGCGTGCGACCGCGCATCCGCGGCATTGCACACCGGAGTCCAGACCGCGAGGGCGCGGATGCGGATACGTTCGCCGCCCGTGATGGGGGACCCCGTGGGCCCAGAGTCGATTCGTGGAGCCCAGCGTCAGACGTCGTCTGCCTCGGCGTGAGTCGAGGCTCTAGGCTCGAGACTCGAGGCCCCCGACGCTTTGGTGTCGAGGACCTCGCTCTCGGTCCTCTCTTCGGCGGCGAGCCAGGGGGGAAGCGAGAAGCAGGAGGCCTTCGCGGAAGGCGGCGGGACTTCTCAGAAGCCCTCTGGTCTTCCGCGGGAAGTGTTCTGTGTCTTCGGGGGAGGCTTGGAAAACTTCTGAGAAGGCCCCGGGGACTGCCGAGCCTTTTGAGGAAGTCTGCTCCTTCTCACTTCCGCCCCCAGCGGTCCGCCAAGCTGCCCATGGACCTGGCATCGCTCGGACGTGTGCATTTTTTCTCGGCGAGGACCATCGAGGAGCATCCTTGATCATTTGGCGTAACAACCACGCACGAAACCCAAACAAAACACAGGGAATGGACGTCCGAGCGATGGCGAGTGGAGGGGTGGCCCCCGCGCGGGAGGTCCCCCGGGCGGCCTCGGGGGACGCCTCCCCCCCCGCGCCCGCGCAGGGTCTCGAGCCTCTTCGCCCTGGCGGCCGCCTTCCACTTCTGCGAGGAGGCCGGCCCCGCGGCTGCCCGCTGCTCTTCGTGCCGCCACGGCCGCCATGAGGGCAGGGGGCCCCGAAGGACGCCCTCAGAGGGCCCCGAGGGTGTCTCTAGGCCTCCCAGATGGGGTCGGAGTGGACGGGGTCGGAGGATGCCGCCGCATCGCCGACGCATCGCCGAAGCGGCTCGATGCGGAGCCCGGCCTTTTCCACGCCGACGGCGCCGAGGCATCGCCGAGGCATCGCCGAGGCATCGCCGAGGCGGTGCGGTCCTCCGGCCCCATCCAGTCGGACCCCATCGACGAAGCCTCCTGGGGCGTCGGGGGTGTCCAGGCGGGGGAGGGGGGAGGGAGGGGCACCGTCGAGACCAGGGGCCGCGCTCGGTCTGGGAGGGGCTCGATGCTCCCCAGGGCATGCCGTGATTGTTCCTCCAGCCCTCTTCGTGCATCGAGGGACATACTAGTTTTGGGGGACTTCGTGGGGCTTTTGGGGGACTTCGTGGGACTTGAAGGTCGCTGGGGGGGGGCAGCGCTGTTTCCAGGGCCAGATCCCCGTACGCTCGGCCTGGCGCGCTGGATCGGTCCACAACAAGCCTTCCAGCCGCCCTTCGCGAGAAGCTCTGATTTCAGGTCTGCTCTTGCCGACGATTGGGCTGCTCATGCTTGCTCTTGCCCTACAAAAGCATTGCCCTCTCCCCCGTCGCCCCAGAATCGCAGATCGCGTTCGCTGCCCCTCAGCGAGCTTCAACCTAGGACATTCCGTGATTGTTCCTCCAGCCCTCTTCGTGCATCGAGGGGCATAGTTTTGGGGGATTTCCGTGGGGCTTTTGGGTTCCAGGGGCCACCAGGGACCACTAGAAGCACTTGCTCTAGCCAGGAGCCGAATCTGATGCCCGAAGCGGTTCCGATGTCGACGGTGGCCTTCGGGGGCGCTCGAAGCTATCACCCGACGAATCCAAGCGGAATGCGAATGGCATCCTCATCTCTCGCCCTCCTGTACATCTTGATGATACCTCAATTCCTCGATCGTGATTACGAAGGTCTTACGGCCGGTGCCGCCGACCCTGAAGGGAGACGACGACGACGACGCCAACGACGGCGGCGGCAACTACGACGACGCTGACGTGGGCCAGAGGCCTCAGGGATGCTTCTTGGGTTATGATGCTCCAACATACTTTTAGCTTTGACCACCAGGAAGAATTTCGAGCGCCCAAACAAGTACCGAAAATCAAGGGTTTTCACGTGCCGGGCCCTGGGAGACACTGTCTCGACATTGTTTCGACACGCTTTCGACACTTTTCGGGGTGCTCGACATTATTTCTGGGATGCGGTCCTTACGTTGGACGGGAACAATATGATTTTTGAGGTCTCTTCGGAAGTCTCTCGGGGGCCTCTGGGGAGGAATTTCGGGGCCCCTGGGGCGCCTCTTGAAGGCCTCTTGGGAGCCTCTTGGGAGCCTCTTCGGGTCGAGGGTTCGAGATGTCCGCTCGGGCCCCCTGTCTGGGCACGCTCTTGGAGCCGTCTTGGGGGCCTCTTGGGTCGTTTTGGAGGCGTTTGGGGCTGTCTTGGGGTCCTCTTGGAGGCCTCTTGGGCCGTCTTGGGGCGATCTTGGGGTCCTCTTGGGTTGTTTTTGGGTCCTCTTGGAGGCATCTTGGGGCTGTCTTGGAGGCCTCTTGGGCTGTCTTGGGGTCCTCTTGGGTTGTTTTGGGGTCCTCTTGGGGGCCTCTTGGGCCGTCTTGGGGCGATCTCGGGGGCCTCTTGTGCGGTCTTGGGGCGGCGGGAAGTGGAAAAGGCGAGAACGCCCCCCCCAAAAAAGCAGGGGGAAATCAATGCATTTGTGCCTCTTGGGGTCCTCTCGGGAGTGCTCTTTAACCAGCGAGCGTAGTAAAAAACATAATTCTACGCTGGGTGCGTGTACAAGTCCGTGCAAGAAGTTCAAAGCATCCTCGAGAGCAATCGCCTCTGCAGTGATAGGCGAGATAGGAGAGGTGAAAAATCAGCCCGCGTGGCCGAGCGGGAAGATTACCTACGTTCCATTCACACATGCGCGGGCTTCACTGTTTCACGCCGGCACCTGTCAGCGCGGGTGCCCCCGTCCGCGGGATGAGAAAGTTCATGTTTTCCGCATCAACCCAACCGCAGGGAGGCTCGAATCGTTGATTCCACGACTTCTCTGCATTCACTGTGTGATTCGCAAGGTGGTCTGCTATTTCGTTCCAGCACCGCCAGTGCCACTGGATACAATCAGAGCCGCGCCACGGCGGCACCAGCCGCCCTCCACCGATTCAAAGAGTTCCTCGGTCACCCGGGCGAAAATGGGCAGCAGGTCGTCGTTCGACAGCACGGCGTCGCTGTTGAGGCTGCCAGCAAGCGGCTGGCAATCTGCAAGAAAGCCAAAACGGCCCCCAGTACAGTCAAAAATCCTAGTAAGGACGCGCGACTTTGCTCAGGGTACCCTTGCGTCCTTGCTCTTCCTTGCTCTTGCGTCCTTGAGCTGTTCGTCGTCCGCCGCCCCAAAAATCCCAACTTCGGCTCCCAAGGGTCTTGCGTCCTTACCGCGCGTCCTTATCAGGGTTTTTGGCTGTATCCCGCTGTGTCCAGGGTGCGCCTTCGCTACGGGACTTGGCCTGGGAAGCTCGCGCAGGCTGTGGGCGTCCGCCCTCAGCCTTCTCTCGGGAGGAGGCCGCATCGGGCAGCGTGTCCAGGGGCAGTCCTGGGGGCGTCTTGGGGGCGTCCCGGGCAGTCTGGAGGGCGAGAAGGCGTCTTCGGACAGGTCGTCTGGCGATCGGGGACCCTCTCGGACCGTCTCGGGGGCGTCCTGGGCAGCCTGGAGGGCGAGAAGGCGTTTTTTCGGACAGGTCGTTTGGCGATTGGGGGCCCCCTCGGACCGTCTCGGGGGCCTCTTAGGGGCACTCCTGGCCCGTCTCGGTGCTCTGTGAGGCCCCCGGGGCCCCCAGAGGGGGTGGGATGGGTATCTGACCTCCCCTCCTGGGATGAAGTCGGGGCTGCTCCCTTCCAGGAGGAAAACTCAAAAAGAGTAAAAAACGTAGCCTGGAGACGGTTGTGTGATTTGTTCTGAAATATTTTTGGGGATATTAACATTCTTTCGCCCCAAATCGGCCTGTAGGGGGACGTGCCCGACGTAACCTGGGATCCCCCGCCCCTTCCAGGGTAGGGATCAATAGGGAAGGGGCTTCTCTTCGACTCGATTACGTCTTTGCTGGTTTTTTCTCTCGCTGATAAGCTTGAGGAGGAGTGTGCAGGGAAGGGGAGGACGGAGACGACGACTGACGGAGACGACGACTCGAGCAGACAAGCCCCTCACACACGCCGACAGGGTCGGCGGATTTTCTTTTTTTTCCTCCACCTGTTTCTCCTTTCTCCCCTCTTCCCCGTCGTTTCCCCTCCCCTCTCCCGCTTGGGAGGTCGAGTGAAGGGTTGGGAGGGGTCTGGGCAGCACGGGTTCCCACCAGTGGTCGCCTCACTGGTCGCTGCTCTCTGCAGCCGTCGCGGATGGCGACCCCACCCAGCTCGCTCTCTCAGAAGGAGCCTCTACCCGGGGGCTCGAAACGTTGGCTCCCCGGTGCGAGAACAACCAACTTCGCAGGCGTTCGTTCTCCCCCAACCCCCGACTTTTCGACGAAGAATGAAGCTGCTCAGTAAAGGAGGGCCAGGGATACACCCTAGGTGGGCTATTCGGACGCACCCCCATCGAGGATGGACGCCCCCCCATCGTATATCCCAGGGTTGGGCCCAAACTTTCTGGTCCGTTCGGGAAACCACTGAAGCCTGAGGCAGGGGTCGACATATCCCCTGTTACAACCCATAGATCGGGGGACCGAAGTTGCGACGGAAAGAGTGGGGACGGAGACCCACACCAGCTTCTGCAACTGTGAGTGTGATTCCGTGTCGGAAATCGCTGCGGACGCTGTCTTTTCTTGGAGCAGAGCGGTCACTAACATCTTTTGGCAACTTTTGCTGATGGGTGTAGGTCTCATGCTTCCGGTCCCATTTCGGGCGTGCCAGACACGCGCACGCTCGAGCCTTCGCTGGAGTGGGTTCTGGTGCGTGTCTTTCGGTGGTAGCCGGGGGCTGGGGGCAAGCACGCTCTCCCTTGCAGTGAAGACGCCGAAAAACAAGATGCAGTCCGGGTCCAGAGGAACGCCCTTGGTGCACCCAGGCGTTTCTGCGGCCGATCGTTCTTGATTTCGCGCTCCTTCTGGTCGTCGTTCAATTGAGCGACAGAAGAAAGCAGGCGCGTCTTCGCTGACATTTGGCGCGCAAGCTGCTCGCGTACGGTCGCGCGTAAGCGCCCTCGCTTCCAGCTCATCGTGCCGCGCTACTGGCCCGCGTAAGCCCCTGCGTGAGGTCGTCATGCTTTCTCGCGAACATCCCGTCTTGGATCGTCGCTCCACTTTGCCGCCGCACAGCACGCAACGATCTGCGCGCCGCGCACCCCAGGAGGAGGCGGAGGAGGCGGAAAGGGAGGAGGAGGAGACGGAAAGGGAGGAGGAGGAGGAGGAGGAGGAGGAGGAGGAGGAGGAGGAGGAGGAGAAGGAGGAGGAGGAGGAGGAGGACGGCACCGCGCGCGCCGACCGGCCCCCGCGGGGAGGCGCCGCCCCGCCCCAGCGCGCACCCCCCCCGTAGCCGCCCGCAGCCCGCCGGGCCGCCGGCCATGGCCGCCGGCCAGGGCCGCGCGGGTTCGCCGCTGTGCGCGTGGGCCGCCCGCGGCGGAGGCGGGGGGCTCGTCGGGTCTCGGGGAAGTTTCTTAGAAGCACGCCTGCTTCTTAGAAGGCGCGGTCCTTCTGTATAGATGTAAGGCCGCCGCCTTCGAAGAAGCAGCCCCCTTCTGAGAAGCCTTCCCCCTCCCTCCACCCCCTTCTGCGCGCCGCCAAGCTCTCCCGGCCGCCGCCGCCGGGCTCTCCCGCTCAGGTGTGAGTCGGGAGCCTCGAGCCGGGTGTCAGCCAGAGCGCCAAATTTTGAGGGGCCTTCGCGTTGGGCCCAGGGACCGTCAAAGAGCCACTCGGGGTGGGAAACCGAGCGTGGGAAAACGGTGCGGCTTTCCGGGGCCCGGTGCCGAAGTAATTGAGGCATGGCGGGAGCCTTGACACGAGGGTCAATGCACACGGGGGTCAGCCAGAGCGCCAGACCTTTTGCAGGATCCTGCAGGGCCAGAGTCGTGTTGACCCGGGCTTGGGGTGCAGGATCCTGCAGGATCTCGCAGGATGCTTCGCGTCGACCCAGGTTTGGGCGCAGGATCTTGCAGGGTCTGCAGGAGTCTGCAAGGCATGACTGACCCGCGTCAGCAGATCCCCGATTGAGCCTGCTGTTCTTCAGAGCCATGTAAGTTGATTTGCATGGCGTCCACTCACCCCCTAATGCCTCTTCGTTTTCTCGATCGAATACGAGAGTGCAAGTGTTTTTCGGCGTGCGCGATTTCCGCACGTCAAATCATGTGCGCCTTGCTTCAGGTTTCAGCCCTCCCCCCTCCATGCAAGTACATTTGCCAGAGTCCAAACAAAACATGCTCTTTTAGGTTCTCGGCTTGGCACCGCTCGGACGTGCGCCTTTTTATTCCCCTCGGCGAGGACCGCTGCGGAGCATCCTGGATCATGCAGTGAAGAAAGCACGCCTGAAGTCGGAACAGACACAGGGAGTGGACGTCCGAGCGCTGGCACGCTAGGTCTTCGAGGTGCTCGGGCGCTGCTGTCGGCCCTAGGCGGGCTTCCAGCCTCGGGGTGCCTCCCAGCGGCCGCGCCTCGCCGGGAGCGTCCCTGGGGTCGCTGGGAGCGGCTGCCGGAGGGCCGAGTTATACGGCCCGGAAGCCAGTGGCAACGATAGTCGAGGGCAGGCCCAGAGGGGGGAAGCATGGGCCCCTTCTCACGCCCCACAGCGCGCGATGTCGCTGCCCGACGTTTCCCCTCACCTGCTCGATCCCGCTCGCGTCGTCGTCGTCGTCGTCGTCGTCGTGGTCGTCGTCGTCGTCGTCGTTGCTCCCGTTGCGCGCGGCGGCCTCGCGCGGGGTAGGCCGGAGGACGAGGCGAGGGCGGGACGGGGAGGAGGGGGATTGGGAGCGATGCGGATGAGGAGGAGGAGGAGGAGGACGAGGAGGAGGAGGAGGACGAGGAGGAGGACGAGGAGGAGCGGCTCGACGCCGGAGGCTGCCCTCTGTTTTGGCTTCGTCGCGCTCGTGAAGCCTGATTGCGCCAATGTTGCGAATCCTGCTAATCCTCCGCCTCCTGCTCGTCTCTGGGAGGTCTCCCTCCCCCGCCCCACTCGTCCGACCCGACCCCTGTCTCGTCCTGGATCCATTTCTGGTGTCCCTGGGGCCCAAGCCAGCCACGCGCAGAGGGGGGTATGGGGAGGGGGGGAAGGCTTCTTAGAAGGATGGTGCTTCTTAGAAGGCGCGGGCCTTTTTTTAATAGGTAAAGCCCGCGCCTTCTGAAAGGCAGCCTTCTTCTAAGACTAAGAAACCTTCCCCCTTCCTTCTACAGTCGGACCGAGGCATAGGATCGAGGTCGACTCGGTGAGGGTACCCTGATGTTCTTCGTGTTTGTTGGGTGTTACCAGACATCCTGGGGCAGGGCGCCGTCGAATGCTCCTCAGTTTGGTAGGCGCAGGGTCTCAGGCTCTTGAAGGATGCTCTTCTGTCCCGGGTCCGACTGTATCTCTTTCACGTTCTGCCAACCAGAGGCAGTCCCCAGGCGACGAAGCGGAGGCGAGGCGCGCGGACTGATCAAAAACCATGCCGTCGGAGATTTGGGGCCATTGCCCTGGGAACGAGGGGCCCTCGGAGCTCGTCAGGGAACGGCGCTGGATCGTTGTCGGTCGGCGTCGTCGTCCTCCTGCTCCTCCTGCTCGCCATGAAAACGTTTTTTACAGTCAACCCGCATTGCAAACATGAGCCAGTTTCCAAGGTTGCCGTTGCATCCTTCCTCTTCGGCCCATGCTTGGCCGCTCCCGCGCCCCGCTCGCAAAGTGTCGGCATGGCCTTCCAAGGCCCTTGCGTCCTCATCGCGCGTCTTTGTTGTACGGGTTAACTGCACTCTTTGGCGATCACGCGCGTGACCAGAGGGGGGGGTCACGTCACGATTCGCGCCAGCGCCGTTAGGGAATGCTTAGGAGTAGCCGAAGAAAGCTCGGACAGCAGCAAGTTTATGGGATCTGCTACGGCAGAGCGTGCACCAGGAACTTAGAATCTGCTCTGGATAACGATGGATACCCAAGCGCAACGCGGGGGATTGCTGCTCATAGAACACGGTGTTATTCCGTCCGCCTTCCCCTCGTCAAGGTTGTCGTCCTCTTGCTCCTCCGCACGTCATCGTCGTCCTCTTCATTCTATTGCAAGGCGCTGCGCACAAGGACAGAAGACGGAAGGAGGGAGTGAGGACGAGGGGGGCGATGGGGGGGGGGGGGGGGGGCAGACCGAAACGACTTGGTTGATTTCACTTCTGTGATCGACTCGTGCCCTGTGAGGGGGCTGGGCACTCCCAGGCCCGCGGTGGGAGAAGAGCCCCGTCGTCGTCCTCATCGCATCCTCCTCCTCCTTGTCCTACGTGTGCTCCCGGCGGGAAAGACGCTTCTTTGTCCCGAGTGTCTCTGACCCCGATGTTGTACACATGTGTACGCACGACGTGGCCAGCCTGGGCGAGAGTTGGGAGCACATGCGGCCGCGTGCCTCCCCAGGGTTCGACCCTCGTGCGGCTGACTACGCCAGCCCCCCCCCGCGCGTATCCAGCAGCTGGCCTCTGCACTCTTCGCACGTGACTCGAACCGCGGTGTTCCAGCCCCTTGGGCTGCTGGGTTCTCCATCGGAATCGGATCCTCCAGGAACAGGATGCAGTGCGATCTTGGAGATGTCGGGCTGGAAAGTGGTCCGCGTATGGTGCACGTGCCTACTCTGCCCGGCCCCAGGGCCCCGTGGTGCGGCCGCGTGGTGCACGCAGATGTTGCTGCGGCAGCCGGGGCGTGTGCGCACGCGGCTGCGCAGCGGAGCACTCTTGCCGCGCAGCGAAGGCGTCGGAGGTGGATAGGCCTCTTACAGTCGGGGCCCTGAAGAAGGATCCCTTTTCGTTCGGGAGGGGCTCCGTGTTCCTCAGTTGTTTTACAGTGATCCTCGGGTTTTCCTGAGGTTTTCCATGGACAATCGAAGTTCATTTTATGGGAGAAAGGAGCCCCGTTCCTTATTTAGGGTTCCTTAGGTCAACGCCCCGACTGTACCCTGACACGTCGATGAGCGAAGTGGCCGTTTTCGGCTCGCGAGAGGGCGTCACGGCCGTCATCTTTGCAGGTCCAGGTCCGGTTTCGGTCCCAGGCCGTTTTCGCCAAAGGGTGGTTTGCTAAAGGGTGGTTTGTCCACCGCCGAAGGAGACAGAAGGTTCACGCTGGAGGTCCCCCTCGGGCTCCTGGAGCGCAGGCCGACAACAGTAGCGTGATCAAGCTGGCCGATTCGCCCCAGCCCCCGCCTCCCTCGAACCCCCTCGCCTGCTCCAGGTTCCTTCCCTCCTTCCGCCCCTGTGTGACGCAATTCCTGATGCAATGAGGGGGACGAGGACGATGAGAGGAGAAGGAGAGGGCGAATCAGGAGGAGGAGGACGACGACGGGGGGAAGAACGAAGAAGGAGGGAGGAAGAGGGATGTGATAGGAGCGAGGAGGAGGATCAGGAGGAGGAGGAGGAGGAGGAGGAGGAGGAGGAGGACGGGGAGGAGGACGGGGAGGAGGAGAAGGAACAGGAGGAGGAGGAGGACGATGAAGGGGAGAGGAGGGAGCAAACCAGTTGTCAATGCTTAGCAAGCCCCTGTGGTGCGACTAGCTGCGCGTAATCATCCATCGCAGGTTTTTTGAGTATGAATCACATGATCCGCGCTTCCCCATTCCATGGCATCCGGGCGTTCTCCGTCCTTCCTTCCCTGGCATTCCCAGACGGCGCCAGCGCGAACCGTGAAAGGAGTGACCAGGGGGGCGGGGGCGGGGCGCCAGCGGGGCCCCTCACCGGGCGCTGCCGCGAAACACAGCACACCGGGCCCATGGGAGGTGGCCCCCTCCCCCCCGCCGCCGCCCCCGCGCCCCTCCCCCCCCTCCCCCCCGCCGCCGCCCCCGCGCCCTGGGAGCGAGGAGAGGGGAGGCATCGCGGCCTGCGACGCCGCCTCCGAGGCCTCCACCGCCCCGGAGTCCGTGCGAAGGCGCCTCGGCGCCCCCGCTCGGGCAGCTCGGCCCTGCCGCCGCCGCCGCCGGCCGCCTGCCGCTGCTCCCTCCGCACCTCGCTTGAGCCCGTGAGCTGCGTTGCTCCGTCGCGGTCGTGCGAAGGTCTTTGGTGCTTCTCCAGCAGTGGAGCCCTCCGTCCCCCCGTAAGCATGCGCCGCTGGCTGAAAGAGGTCGCCAAAGCAGGACAAGGCTGCCTCTCCCTCCCCAGACCCCCCTCGGGTCGTGGAAGAACGGCGACGGGCGGTGTTGGACGGGTGCGTCCTCCAGGGGGCCCTCGCCTCGCCAGGGTCTCCCGGGACCGTCGAGAGGGGCGACTCGGGACGAGAAGCCGTCCCGGGGGGGGGGACCGTGTGCAGACGTCTGGAGATCTGGATTGCAAGCCACGCTCCCTGGGAATCTGGACAAGTCGCGCGGGGCGCCTCGGGAGCGCCCAGGAGTGCCCTTCCAGACAGGCTACGATCTGCAAGCACATGTTGAGGGCTCGACTCCCTCTTCGGACTTGTGCGGCACCCGTGCGGCAGACGACCCTGGCGGCAGACAGGACGGCCCTGGAGAGTGTTTTTGTTCCCTCCCCAGGGGCCACCAGCCTCGGGGGCCCAGGCGTCCCCACCAGGCGTTGGAGGAGACGTGCCAATGCCTCGCAGACAATCGGGGGCGGCAAGGTTGATGACTAGGGGGGGGGAGGGGATATCGTGGCGGGGGCCACGATGTCTCCCGGATTTCATGGCCCCTCTTCTTGTTGCAGTGCGTTCCCTGGCCCCCTCTGGTACGCGCACATGCCCTGGGCCATGATTTGCGCACACACACACACACACACACCTCTTGGACCACCCCCTTTTTGACGCCCCCAAGACGAGCTGCCTCGGGAGGCCGCGCGGAGGTTTTCCCCCGCTATACAGCCTCTGGGGCCCCCCTCACGGGGCCTTCTTGGGGCCGTCGCAGCGCTGGCGAAGCGCTCGCCTTGGGTAAGGGGTCGGGTCTCACGGGGCCCCATCTTGATCGAGCGGGGCATTGAGTTTGTCACCATGCGCAGAGGGGGGTGGGGGGAGGGGGGAGGGCTTCTTAGAAGCTTCTTAGAAGGCGCGGGCCTTCTCTACAGATGTAAGGCTGGCGCCTTCTAAGAAGCAGCCTCCTTCTAAGAAGCCCCCCCCCCTCCCTCCACCTCCTTGTGCGCGCCGCCAAGAGTATCTGGATCGGCCAGGTATGTGCGTTGTCGGACAGAGGAGATACGTCACCACTACCACCAGCGAGCCACTTCTTTACGAGGAGGCGCGCTATGCCTCACCGAGACAGGGTTCAGGGATGTCCTGATCGCGGCGCCGCAAAGCAGACGAGGACCATCCCTGGCTCCTTGTGATGGTGGTGGTGGTGATATGATTTGCTCACGGGTGGTTAATCTTCGCACTTGTCCCTACGCGTGGTCTTGATTGATTGTAAATAGCTCATGGAACGTTGTTCTAGTCATCGACCGTTGTGCTCACTCTGGTCTCATATCGCCTAGTGCAGCCTGTTCATGTTGCATCCCGCTAAATTTGGCATGACCTGGTTTATCCACGGCTTGAGATACCTGACTCCGCTTAGTATCGGAGGCCTAGAGCTTGTCACCAACACCGATATCGGCGGTGTGCCTCCACCGAGGGAAGATGCTCCCAATCTCGGTGATGGTGGTAATATTCGAGCTTCCAGGTGGCCGACATATTACTACCACAAACACCGACATCTAGGATCATCTTCCCCCGTGGAAGCACCTCCCTGGGGCCCCCTGGTTGGTGTTGGTGCCCTTTTCCAGGCCTCCAATAGTAGCCTGCACTAGTCTGGTTCAGCACTTCTGTAACAGTGGCCACCATTTGTTCTTTCGTCGTGCGCCTCTGCGGCGGGGGCGTTCCTCCGCGGCCGCGCTAACTCGGGCACGTACGGTTCACTCTCTGTGTCTGGCACATGTTTCGGCATTTTCTAGTAGACATTCGGGGCTTTTCAGGGCAAATGAGGCATTTTCCTGGGGATAGGTGACCATCATTTGTTCTTTCGTCGTGCGCCTCCTTGAGACACACTCTGTCTCTGGCCCATGTTTCAGCACCTTCGAGTGACATTCGGGGCCCTTCAGGGCAAATGGGGCATTTGCCTGGGGAGAGGGCCTTCCACCAGCAGCACTTCAGAACGCCGGTTCCTGAAACAGTGCCGCTGAGTAGACGAGACCGCAGCGGACATCTCCGCAGGCTGTTGTCCAGATCTTGCGGGTTGCGGCTACGATAATGAGCATCGGACAGCAGCGTCATCCCATTGTCCCCGCCCTTCCCTCCTATCTTCCCCTTACTCTCATCTCCATGCTTTACCAGCCTCGAACGTATCCCTATCCCTAAGATTGACACGCCAAAAGGCGATGACAATCTTAGGGATTCGCCCTCAAAAGATAAGGGAATCCCTACGATTGGCATCGTGATGAGGAGGTGCCCAGCATAGGGATAGGGATATGCTCCAGGCTGGTAAATGCTTCGAAGAAGAAGCATCAGTGTGAACAATATTCCGAAGGTCCGCGCCGGTGCCGCATTGACTCGCTTGGCCGCGCCTCCAGCGGCGCCCTGGGCGCGCTCCTCGCGCCGGGGGGGGGGGGGTCGAGCGCCGAGCCAGCAAATCCGCGCGGACCCCTGAAAGTTAGTTTTGTTCATGCAGATTTAACGGGGAGGGGAGGAGGAGGAGGAGGAGGAGGAGGAGGAGGAGGAGGAGGAGGAGGAGAAGGAGGAGGAGGAAGGGGAGCAGAGGAAGGAGGAGGAGGAGTTTGGGGGAGGAGGGCAGGAGGAGAGGGTCGCCTTTAAAACTCCGTGCGCTTGGCTCGAGCATCTCTACAGGCTTCCCTAGCGAGAGGCCGCGGTACTTGATACGCATCGAGCTCCGCACCAGACCTGGCGATGCCGATCATCCGTTCATCGATTCCAGACGTCGAGATTGACAAGAAGTCCACCTTGACAGACTATGTACTCTCGAGGGCGTCCAAGTTCGCCAATTCACAGGTGGGCGATGTAGAGAAAGCTCGTCGACTGTGTTGACATTCGCGCGCAAGCTGCCCTTACAAGGTTACGAGTAAGCGCCCTCTCTTCCACGTATTTTGCCTGCCTCAGGTCGCCACGTCGTCGTTCGGCCATCGGCGTGTTATCCATACTCCCAGCTACCGCCGCCTCCATCTCTAGACGCCAAGAGTGCAAGGCACGGATCAAGAAGTCTGGCTTCCAGGGGCTTCGTTCTTGTCCATCCCCTCTCTAGCCCCTCGCTGGACCAGGGGCTGGCACAGCACAGCCAAGACGCCGACATCAGTATAGACCACCTTTGAGCTGAGACCTTGGGCTGAGAGGAGGGGTGCTGCTCCTCGGACCGCTCCTCGGCTGCAGGCCCTGTCAATACGCCCGTGCGTGGCCGAGGCCCGCCGCCGGACCGAGGGCCACCGCGATGCCTCCGGCGTGCCGCTCGGTGGCACGACGGCTGCACGGACAGAGCGCGGGTCGCCCCGTCGTCGTGCGCGAGTCCAGTGTCCCTCCTGCGCCCAGGCTCGGCGGCGAACGAGGGGGGCAAGTGAGAAGGAGAAGGCCTTCTCAGAAGGCTCGGGAGTAAGCTTGAGTCGGGCGTGTCTCTCTACAGGAGGAATATCCAAGAATAGTATAGAAATAGTCTGGGGACGATTTGTTTTGTAATTTTTGGTGTAGTTTTCTAGTTTTGTTTTTGTTCGTCGAAAATCCGCCTATAGGGGGACAGGCCCGACTCAAGAGTAAGCGGGCCTTCTGAGAGGTGTTATAAGCCTTCCCCGAACCTGATTCAAGAGCCTCTCAGAAGGCGGGAGGGCTTCTGAGAAGTCCCGCCGCCTTCTGAGAAGTCTTTCTCCATCTCACTTGCCCCCCTCGCTCGCCGCCGACAGGTGAGCGACAGAATAATGCGGAGTCGACTGCGCCGACATTCGCGCGCCAGCTACCCGCGCAAGGTCGCGCGTCAGCGCCTCCGTTCCCACCTCCGCGCGCCACGCTGGCGGCCCGCGTAAGGCACCGCGCAGGGTCCCTGTGCCATCGTCTAGGAGGAAAGCCCTGGAGGCCTCGCGCGGCGCGCCGTACAGTCGGGGCGCTGAAGAAGGAACCCTTTTCGTTGGGGAGGGGCTCGGTGTTCCTTGATTGTTTCAAAGTTCGCCTCGGGTTTTCTTGAGGTCTTCCTTGGGAAATCGAGGTTGAACTTATTGGCAAAAAGGGGCCTCGTTTCTTATTTTGGGGTTCCTTAGGTCAACGCCTCGACTGTAGTTGCATTGTCCAGTCCGCACGTCCGGCCCGTCAGGTATAGGGCAGCGTCCGCGCGGCGATGCTTCGACGCACGTCCGACGGGAGTCCGACGCCATCCGACGTGGACCCGGCGTCAGTCCGACGTGGATCCGACGTGCACCGAGTCTCGAGCTGCTGCGCGAGGCCTCCAAGATGTTTCTCATACAGTCGGGGCCCTGAAGAAGGAACCCTTTTCGTTGGGGAGGGGCTCCGTGTTCCTTAATCGTTTCGCAACTTATCTCAGGTTTTCCTCATGTTTTCGATGGAAAATCAAAGTTTAACCTATGGAAAAACAGGGACCTCGTTCCTTATTTAGGGTTCCTTAGGTCAACGCCCCGACTGTAGCATCGTGCGCGAGGCCGGCTTCGGTTCTTCGCCCAGGCGTCGGCGCCACCCCAGCAGATTGATGTTGCCTGCGCGTCGCCGCCCAAGGGGCGACGCCCGCTCTGAGAAGCATCTCATGGGATGTGCGTGCTTCCTGGCGGGCGCTTTCTGGCCGCACCGCTCGGAGGACTATGTTCTACAGGACGATTGTATTATTCTAGGCCTCCCAGATGGGGTCGGAATAGGTGGGGTCGGAGAGTCGCGCCGCATCGCCGATGCATCGGCGATGCAGCTCGATGCAGAGCTAGATGTTCTCCACGCGGACGTCGCCGATGCATCGCCGACGTCGGAGATGCATCGCCGATGCATCGGCGATGCATTTGGCGATGCGGCGCGATCCTTCGACTCCACCTACTCGGACCCCATTTAGGAGGCCTCCAACTACATGTTTGGGTCGGACGCACGCCTCCGAGGAGGACGCATCGTGCCAGTATGTCCTTGTGCGCCTCGCAAGGTGGTCGACGGCCCCTCCGGCAGAGCAGTGAGCTACGCCGCGCTGCTGCGCGCCATCCGGGGCACCGCCCGGGGGCTGCAGCAGGCCGGGCTGGGGAAGGGCGAGGCCGTTGCGGTGTGGATGCCGAACAGCATCGAGTATCCGGAAGCCTACGGCCTTTCAAAGAAGAAGAAGAAGAATAATCATACGAGGAAGCGCCATCGGCCTACATTTCTCGGCGCTCCAGCAGTTTGTGTTTCTGGCGTTTTTGTTTTTCTTTAGCGTTCTAGCCGGCTGGAGGCCCGAAGGCCCAGCGAGCAGGAAGAGGGGGCAGGTTCGGGGCTCTTGGGCTTGAGCTGGTTTGTTGTTCAAATGTGGTTCTGTCTTCGGGGGCCGTTTTCGGACCTCGGGGAACGTTTTCTGTCTTCGGGGGCCGTGGCGGTGTGGACACCGAACAGCGTCGAGTATTTGGAAGCCTTCGGCCTTTCGAAGAAGGACACACGGCATGGACAACTTGTTGTAGCGCTGGGCAGGTTGACGAAGACCAAGCGGCATAAGCAATTGTTCGTAGTTCCGCGCGAATTTCGCGGGTCGGCGCTGAGCCCCCCCTGCCGCCGCCTCCGGAGGGATCCAGCGGTCCAGCGCCGATCCAGAACATCGCGCCGCGTGTCGGCAGTTTATGTTTATGCAGTGTTTTGGTTCTCCCTCCACTGGTGCCTGGTGCGTGGATCGAATGCCTCTTGCATGTTCTTGTTAGGATGCAGTTCATGGGAGGTTCAATTCAGCATCGGTGCTGGCATTTCCGTGGTCGAAGACAAGCCTAAACTGGCAGACTCAAGCCGATGTCAGTCTCATCCCGCTCAATCCCGCTTCGTTGGCAACATGTGGTTTCAATTATGTTTTATGCTCACGTAGCACTGCTTACTGGCCTCTCATCCTTCTCAAGAGGACCTCGCAGAAGTTGCCACCTGGCCTCGGCCCCCTGGGAGGCCTCTCTGACTCCACGTGCCCCTCCTTCGGGCTCTGGGGACGCCCCTGGGGGAAGCCCGAGAGCGCCTGGGCCTCCCTGGTATCTGATAGCACACTTGCGCCCTGGTGCTCGGCTTAGGTTGGGCGTGTCCCTCCACAGGAGGAACATTCCAACATAGCCAAACAATAGTATGGGGACGACTTCTCGATGTTTTTTCGTACCATGTTGGAATATGTTTGGATCATTGGCTGAACATGTCCCCCAACACGTGCCCCTCCAACACCTGCCTGCAGGGGGGCAGGGCCGACCGAATGCCCGGCCTTGAGAGCATCGAGGGGCCGGAGGGCTCCCTGCTCCGTGCCCGCGGCACGGCGGCGGACACCACCGGCCTCCACCCGGAGGCCTCTCGCGGAGGTGCCTCCTTCGGGGGGGGCCTCGGAGGGCTCCCCGAGGGCGCCCGGAAGCGCCCCGAGGCCTGGGGCTTCGGAGGCCTGTGCGCGGAGAGGCGCTCGCGCCAGGAGAGCTCGGAGGGGCCCGCGGGTCCTCCGCTCGGTGCCCGCGGCGCCCCAGGCGGCCTCGCGCCGCGGAGAGGTCGCGACAGCACGCTCTGTTGGCAGCGTTAGGGGCGTCTGGGGGCCCCGGACAGGGCCCCACGGGCGGCCCAAAGATGGCTCGGGATGGTTGGTATTGGTATCGTTCGACCCATCCCCATGCCCAGCCCCATCCCCTCCGAGACCCCCACCACATTGCCCCCCCAGTTCGGATGCACCCCCCGAAACCCAAGAAGGATACGGCCCACATCCCCATCCAGGGGGGGTAAATCGGCCAGTGGGGCCCAGGCCACGCCGCTGGGGATGGAGATCGCTCAAACGATACTCATAGTACGAGAACAGACAATGGCATAAACATAACAACTCGGAGGTCCGCGCGGATTGCTCGGATCCGCGCTGCACCCAGGCGGCGCCGCCCCGCGCGCCAGGGAGGGGGTCCGCCGAACCGAGAAATTCGCGCGGACCTCCGAGTCGTTATGCTTATGTCATTTTTCCTTCCGCTAAGGATGAATAAGCCGGTCCCACGCAATGGGTTCGGGCCTCTGGGCGGGCTCTGGGGAGCCGCGCTGTGAAGCAAGCGCGACGTCCGTTGCCTGGGCCGGTGCCGGATATTGTCGCGTTCCACGCCGTGATCATGGCGGGGGGCGTCGTGACCACGCTGAACCCAGTGTACACCGCCTCCGAGGCCGCCCACCAGTTCTCCGACGCGCAGGTGATCCTTTCTTTATCGATCGGCGCGGGCCCTCGCACCCCCCCCTCACTCACCCCACCCATCGAGTAGATTCTGGCTGTTCTTTGGCGCCTGTTTCGAGCGGGCGGAGTCTCCCCCAGAGGCAGCACTCTTGCAAACAGTCGCACGAAGCAGAGATCTGGAACCAGACCCCCCCCCCCTCCCCCACCCCCCTTCCGCCCAATGTCGAAGCGCCGAGTAAAAAAAACGCTCGCCAGGCCGTGTACCTCGTGACCGCTCCAGCGTTCCTGGAGAAGGTCGAGGAGGCGGTGAGGCTCAAGAAGAGGCCGATGCGCAGGATATTTGTGACGGCCGAGGAGGCGGCGATGCGGGGGATGACGGAGGGAGCAGGGGCGTCAGACCCCCAACGTAGTCCTTCTCCGCAGCAGCATGGGCCCAGAGATGCCTCGATTCTTCCTTGGTTTTACGTTCCTTCTGGGGGCTCCCCTGACGGACTCTAGTCCAGCTCTAGTTCGGATCTTCTTAGTTTCTAGGTCAATTCTAGCTCAGTTCAAGCTCGACCCGAGTTCAATTCATGTCGCTGGACGTTCGACGCAGCATCGACGCATGAATGGAGCGAGTGGTTCCAGGACGGTCCCCAGAACGATCATTTGCTGTTCCACGGGACTGTTTTTTCATCCAGGCTCTTTTTGTGGACGCCCACGGGGCCGCGGAGAGGTCACCCGCAGAGGCAGGAATCTGCCAGCAATCGCCCGTTGGGATCTTGTCACGTCGCGAGAGGGCTTGTGGATGAGAGGCAGCATGGGGGAGGAGGAGGCCGGCCGAGCAGAGAAGGCGCCGACGGGCTACGCCGAGTTCGGTTCTCTCGACGTCGGCGGCGATCCAGCACCGGTAGCCATTGATCCAGTCAGGGACGTGTGCGTTCTCCCGTACTCCAGCGGCACAACGGGCTTGTCCAAAGGAGCGGCACTGGGGGAGGAAGGCCCAGACTCTCTCGCGTCGTAAAGGAGTCGCGTCGGCAATATTTGTGCTGCTTTTTGTTGGTTGTTTTTACAATTTTCCGAGTCTGGGGCGCCCTTATTCGGCCCCAGGACCTTCGGCAAAACTCGTCGGGATCAAACGCCAGTCACGGGTCGAGATATCTTGGAGTCTACGTCGCCAAAAGAACACGACGTCGAGGATCTGGGGCTTGGCCATAGGAACGATGTCGGGGAGGGAGAAGAGCATCAGAGAAGGAACATTTTCCAAGGCCGATGCCCTTCTCTCGTTTCGCCTTTTGGAGTCTCCTTTGCTGGGCCACCATCGCAACGCCTGGGCTCGCTCCTGGACCCGAGTCAGAACGCAGCCTGTGGACGGTCCACAGACGGGCAGCCTCGTTATCTTTTTGTGTCCCACCAGGGGCAGAAGGCAGGAGCAGGAGCAAGAGTACGATGGGGGGGTGGCCCAGAGCGGGTGCCAAGAAAATGCCCACTGTATTATGTCTATTCCCCTATCAGTGCTTGCACTGAAGGGGTTCTTGAGGAAATTGAAAGATTTGGCGAACGTTTCCCGCCGAGTTTGGTGGCCGGCTGGGTTCCCGGGCTCCCAGTTCCGGGTTCCCGGAATTTTGGCCATGGGTTCTGGGCCGATTTCGGTGAGTTCCAGGTTCTTTGTTTCCCAGGCTCCAGGTCGATCTCTTTACCGACATTTTTATCATCCGTTGATTGGGGCTGTTCTATGGTGTATTTACAGTGCCGTTTTCATACTTGTTCTGCGTGCGGATCATGTATCAAAAATGCCGGGGGTTAGTACTAAAAACAACGATGAGTTCATGCATGCATTTATGGCATAAATTGATCTTGTATTAAAATCCTATACTTTTGAATGTCCCAAGTATTAAGAGCTGCCCTGTGAGTTTTGGCGTTGAGAAGCCATGCCACACGCATAAAACAAACCTGGAGGTCCGCGCAGATGCCTCGGGAGCGGCGTCGGAGCCCCCCCCCCGGCGGCGGGGGAGTCCAGCGCCTCCTCCTCCTCCTCCTTTTTCTTCTCCTCCTCCTCCTCCCTCCTCCTCCTCCTCCTCCTCCTCCTCCTCCTCCTCCTCCGCCTCCTCCTCCTCCTCCTCTCTCTCCCTCCTCCTCCTCCTCCCTCCTCCTCCTCCTTCTCCTCCTCCTCCTCCTCCTCCTCCTCCTCTCCCTCCTCTCCCTCCTCCTCCTTTTCCTCCGCCTCCTCCTCCTCCCCCTCCTCCTCCTCCTCCGGGAGAGCCGCACGGGCGTGCGAGCTGTGCTGTTCATGCCGGTGCTCGCTCCCCCAGTTTCAAGCAGTGGCGAGGCGTCCCGGCGCGCCTGCAGGCCTGCACGAAGCCTTTTTGTGGTCAGCGGGCGCTGCTCTTGAGAACAGGTCTTGCTGAGAGCGTTTTGTTTTGACACATCGGGCTTCACTTCTCAGAACCCTGTTCTGGTTATCCGAACATTTCGGCCGATACGAATGCCGGGTCGGTCGGTCCCTGCTGAAGAAACCCGCACGGACGTCCGAGTTGTTATGTTCATGCCATGGCTTGCCAAAACGCAGTGTGTCAGGTCACCGAGAATCACCTCGGTGTATATAGTTACGCGCGCGGGGTCCCACAGAGGAACGATGCTCACCCACGCGAATATCGTCGCCAACCTGGAGCAGCTCAGCGCGCCGGGCGTGTTCCTGGACGGCCGAGCCCCGCACGGGCCCTCCGACACGGCCATTGCGGTGCTGCCCTTCTACCACATCTACGGGATGGTTGTCCTCATGAACCTCGGTGCTCGAAGAGGAAGAACAAATTGCATTGCCGTGACAGGTTTCGGAGTTCCGCTCGGGCGTCTCATGTCTGCGCTGGACCCCCCTGGCGGCGTCTCTGGCGCCACCGATGGGGCCCAGCGCCGACCCACGAGATCTCCGCGGACCTTCGAAAGTTGGTGGCTGCATGCAGCTTCCTCTGATTCTAGGTATGTGCTTCGGGGTCCGCATCGTTACCGTACCAGCCTTCGAGCCAGGGCTGTACCTGAAACTCTTGAGCGCCTACAACGTCACCCATGCGTACCTGGCACCACCGCTTGCCCTGTTCCTCGCGAAATCGCCGCTGGTGGACTCCAAGGACTTCCCCCACCTCAAGGACATCTTCTCCGGAGCTGCACCGCTGGGCCCGGAGTTGACGGAGGAGCTGAGACAGAAGTTCCCCAAGGCCTGCGTGCGCCAGGGCTACGGCATGACCGAGCTGTCCCCCGTGGCCACGGTGGACAGGGAGAAGGCGAAGCCAGGGTCAGTCGGGTACCTGGTGCCCAACATGGAGGCGAAGGTGGTTGATCCAGACACCGGAGTGGAGGCGCAGCCGGGTGCTACTGGCGAGCTGTGGTTGCGAGGGCCTAATGTGATGAAGGGGTACCTCGGCAACGAGAAGGCAACGATGGATACTATCGATTCCGACGGCTTTCTCCACACCGGCGACCCCGCCGTCTCCTCTTGCTTGTAGGGCGAAAGAGGGCAAATTGTTCATCCCCTGGCGATAACGGGCGTGACTGGGGGTGGCAGGGAGAGGACCAGTCACGCCATGATGGGCGCCAGTCACGTCTGCGAATGCCTGGGAAGTGCTACTTCCCAGGCGGCGGTGCGGGCGCGAATCGTGACGTGACCAGGGAGGGGGCGAGACGGAGGAAGCGGGGCAGGTCACGGCCGCTGGCGCGAATAATGAATAGGACGGGGTCGAAAGCACCCGATACCTACATAGACCCCTAACAGTGACCCTGTGCAACTGTTGCAGCTAATGAGGTCCAACCTCGTGCGTCTTGCGCGCGGGCCCGAGCTGCCACCTCCGCTACCGCGTGTATCGCCAGGCGCGGGGTCGTCGCTGCGTTCCTATGATCTCGGTGGGTGCGCCGGGGTTGGCTGGAGCTTTGGGCAGGCCCGCACGGCGGCAGCCTCGCTTCCACAGCGCTGCCAGACGCAGCGGTCGCCACGTTTGTTTCAGAACCGTGAGCTTGTCATCACCGTTGGCCTTCGGGGCCCGTTCTTGGGCCCCGAGGCCATCAAGCACGGATCGGCAACAGAACACTTCACCTGGGTACAGGGTCGGATGTTTTGAGAGTGTTGTCGGGCCTGTTTTCCACCGCCACCACCATAAGTACGAGGGGGAAGGGGTCCACCTCCTCCCATTCTCCTCCTCATCCTCCACCTCCTTCCCCTCTCCAACTTATGGCGGTGGTGGTCGAAAACAGGCTCATCAAGTGTGGGGGAGAAATCGAGTGCTGCACGGAGGGGGTCCTGAAAATGCTCCCCCACTTAAGGGGCCCCGAAGGTGCACGACAGGTGCACCTTTTCCACGCCCCCCTCATTCGGCAGCCCTCGAGTTCTTGACTCGGCGGCGAGCGAGGGGCCGCAGTGAGGAGGGGAAGGCCTTCGCGGAAGGCGGCGGGACTTCTCAGAAGCCCTCGCGCCTTCTGATAGGTTTTTTGCGTCTTACAGGAAGGCTCAGAAAGCTTCTCAGAAGGCCGGAGGACTTCCGCGCCTGCTGAGAAGGCCGCCCCTTTCGTTTTGCCCTCAGGCGCGCCGCCTAGTGACGCCTCTGTGGGATCCAGCGGGGTGGTGGCCCAGGCAGACCCAAGCTACCCGTTCCCCTGGCTGCTGTCGAACGCGTCGCCACTTTCTCGGGGTCTGGCGGAGGGGCGTCCTACGAAGACCCAGACCATCACCTTCGCTTTCGCGGATGCCAAGCGTTGCCCTCGGAGGAGTTGGTACCTATAGATAGGGCCACGGAGAGTGCACGGAAGGGGTGTGCCGAAATGGACATGCGGTGGGACGGGAGCCGCATGCGAGTGCTGCCATTGGGGCCTTCGGTGGAGCTCCTTATGGAGCCACGAAGCGTGCGAGGGTGGGGGGGTGGCGTGGTGGCCCCGCGCAGGCAAAGGCAAGAATTCGAGGGCGGAGGAGGACGGAGGATAAGAGGAGAGGAGACGCGGGGAGCTGCTCATTCAGAGGGAGGACCCGACACCAGAGGATGGTAGGGAACTGCGGAAAACCTGGCAGACAACCAGCTGGCATTCTGTTTTCAGGTGGTGTGCAGGCGTTCCGGTGGGCTTCCTCGCTCCCCCTTGGTGCAACACCCGAGGAAAGCGCTGTCAGGACATGGTGCGGGTGCAGCGCAGTAGCTGCGAGCCCCAAGCAGTTTGAGTGCGCTGTGGGAGGTTCACCTCAGAAACCGAGAATTTGAGAATCCGATGGCGATGCGATGCCCCTGTCAGCACATCTGAATCTCTTTACGGGAGGTTCGCGTCGTGTCGCTGCGGTGACGAATCTGCCTTGTGCGGTCAAGGTTGAACGCCGCCAGTGGCCCAGAGTCGTCCAAGACGGAACGATCTGTCGATCGAAGAGCCGCCGATCGTTCAAGGTTGATCAACCCTCTCAGCGTCAGAAACCAACGCCGAGGTCGCCACGACACGAACCTGCCGCAGCAGGATGGGTGGGAACCCGATGCGCTGCCACGCTTTCCTCACCTGGGGCGCCGGATACGGTCACGACCAGACACCCCTGCCGCTCAGAACGGCAGAGCAGCAGCACCCTTCCCCATTTGCTCCTGGCCTCGGCCTGCGCTCGCGCATGGCATGTTGTCCAGACGCGCCAGACTTCTGAGGCCAAGGCCTTACAGTCGGGGCCCTGAAGAAGGAACCCTTTTCGTTGGGGAGGGGCTCCGCGGTCCTTAAGTGTTTCGCAGCTTGCCTCAGGTTTTCCTTATGTTCTCGATCGGAAATCGAAGTTTAACTTTTGGAAAAAAGGGGCCTCGTTCCTTATTTGGGGTTCCTTAGGTCAAGGCCCCGACTGTGTCCACCCGTCCTCAGCCAGGCCAGGACGATGCCCGCAGCGGTGGTGGTGGTCCTCGTCGTCGTCGCCGTTCGGCCTGCGCTCAGGCAGCCCCCGCGGGTAGCCCCGGCTGGCCACAGCAGGTCCCCCGAGCAGCCCTGGGCGGTCCCAATTCCGGAGGGGAAAAAGCACACAGACACAAGTAATCCTCGATTCCCAGGAAAATATGGGAAAATATGGGAAGTGGGGGGGAAGACAAAAACCCAGAACATATGGGAAACTATGAGGAATCATTTTATTTGTGTGTATTTCTGTGTGTGTCCTGGGGCCCCCTTCACCAACGCCCTGGCGCCGCCGCCTCAGAAGGCGAAAACCCACCCCCACCCCCAGTCTCGACGCCCATCCCCGAGCCGGCGATTCAAGGGGCCGGGATTGGGGGTCGGGGCGGGTTTTCGTCATTCCTGGACCCCGAAAGCCCACCCCCACCCCCAGTCCCGACTCCTTGAATCGCGGGTTCGGGGATGGAGTCGGGACTGGGGGGGGGGGGGGTTCGCCTTCTCACCTCCAGCCGCGCTCCTGTGGCGCCCCGCGCCCCATGGTTGAGCTGAGACCGCCTCGGAGTGCACGGGGGCCCTGTGGAGGCCAGCCTGGAAGACCTGGAGGGGGGGTTGTCTGTGCTCGGCCCGCAGCCTTGCAGCCATCCCGCCCAGTAAGGACGAGCGACTTTCCAAGTTCACCCCTGCCTTAGTGGGCCCTGGAAACGACATGGCCGTTTTTTTACTGGTTCCGTTTTACTGTTTGTTTACCGGTTCCGACGCCGTTTTTTTACCGGTTCCGTCGCCGTTGCTTGATCGGTTCCGGCTCCGGGTCCAATCCTGGAGCCGTTTTTGTTGCCGTTTCCGGTCGCCGTTTTTGTTGCCGTTTCCATTTTCAAGGAACATTTTTTGGGAAACGGTGAAAAAACGGCCCTGCCGTTTCTGGGGCCCACAAAGACCCTTGCATCCTGCGGCCAATCCTCGGCCGCTTTCGCTAGCCGCGCCCCGCTCGCAAAGGGTCGGCATGGCCCTCCAAGGCCCCTGTATCCTTCTCGTGCGTCCTTCTTCTACGGGCTGACTGTACCTCCCCCATCGGTGACATCTGCCGCGTCGACTCGGACGGCTGTTTCTTCATCGTCGACCGGCTGAAGGCCTGCGGGCGGCCTCCGTGGGAACCCTGGCCCTGGCCTCACGCCAGTTCCCTCCAGGAGGAGGGAGAGCGAGGAGAGAGCAGGGAGTGGAGTGGGAAAAGGACCAGGAGTTGGAGGAGGAGGAGCATGAGGAGGAGGAGCAGTCCTGATCAGGCGGTCCTCGACCATCGACATACGTACGTGCGCGCCAGATGGTTTCTCTTCTGGCGCCAGACCCCCTCCCCCAACACCCGCTCGCCGTCCCGAAGTTCGGCTCGATTCTTGCGGGGGAGGCTTCCTTCACGCGTATGAGCCGTTCTGAGAACGCATGGCCCGATTCTCGCGGGGGAGGCGTTCGACGATCGGCAGGGCCCGCCGCCAGCGCAGAAGCCGCACGTGGTCGTCCAGAAGCGTTGTCGGGGGCGGAAAAGAGGGGGGTGATGACTAGGGGGGGGGGATATCATGGCGTGGGCCATGATATTTCCTCAGATTTCATGGCCCCCCGCGGGGCCGCGCACATGCCGCCGGCCATGATTTGCACCCCCCCCTCTTGGACACCCCCCTCTTGGCCGCTCCCGACGTTGGACCTCCTGGGAGGGGGCTGGCTCCTCTTCCAGGGGCGCTCCTCCCTCCGCGGCACGCGCCCACTCGTCGCCGATCGGCAGGGGCCCGGTAGCCCACATCGCCGAGGAGCGAGGGGGGAGGGGGGAGGGGGGAGGAGGAGGAGGAGGAGGAGGAGGAGGAGGAGGAGGAGGAGGAGGAGGAGGAGGATGAGGAGGAGGAGGAGGAGGAGGAGGAGGACGAGGACGAGGACGAGGACGAGGACGAGGACGAGGACGAGGACGTGCGAGAATTCGTCCTCGGGGGCCGCCTCCGACGCCCCGCCCCGGAGTTGGTCCCCCCCTGGACGTTCCCCCGCGCTCCCCCCCGAAGAAGGGACGGGCGAGGACGAGGATAAGTCCGTTCCTCAGAGCGTGAATTACCTACCCCGCTTTCGCTTCCAGGAAAACACAAGTCATACCACGCGCCTCCTCGTCAAGCGGCCTGACCAGCACAGGCCGTAGTTTGGCATCGCTTGGTATCTCTTGGAAGCGAGGGTGGTCAAAAGCGAGGTAGGTTTGTTTTCCCCCTAGTTCCAGGGCGTCCCAGAACGCTCTCAAAGCGTTCTGGGATGCTCCGGGGAGGCCGCGGCGCCCAATACTCGGGTGCTGCCAGAAGTGCCCCTAGCCCAAGGTGCACCCAGGATTTCCAGGGAGGCCCTCACGAGGCTCAGATGGCCCCAGGGGCTCCCAAGTCAAGCGAAAAGCTGGGGGCACATGGGGCGAGGGGCACCTCTAGGGCCTTGAGTTGAGACAGCGATAGCCGGCCTTGGGGGGAGGGCCCTCGTTGACACGGCTGGACGCAGCTCGGGAAATCTGTGCGCTTGAATTTTGGGAGCGGTCCGAGGATTGATCTCGAGTTTCCGCTATCTCACCTCGCCCTTCTCCGATTAGTAG